GTGTCATTTGCAGTAAAGGACACCCATGGCAATAGGGTTAACTATGAAATAGGTAATAGGAGGACCCACCTGGTCTACATCTTTTACCACTACTGCTCTGCCACCTATGACCTTCCTCGACTACTCCAGCTACACCACTACCTCATCAAGTTACAGAACTTAGCAGGCTGGTTCAACAACTTGCCTAATCTTGAAATCAACAACATACTATGAAGGTAAAGTACCATGGGAGATATATCAGGCTCATTTTAAAGTCATTTCTAGAGTGAAAGAATGGAAGAGTGAACAACAAGCTATTGTCTTGCTGTTCATTTAAAAGGATCAGTTTTAGTGACATTAAACATCCTTCCAACTGAAAGCCATAACTATCTAGTGGCAGAAAGGATGGAGGCCCAAGATAATGCAGACATCCAATCTAAAGTACAAAAGAGAAGAATTCAGCAACTCAGGTGATCTAAGCCAAAGGTCATTCATTACAATCATTTTTGGGAAGCACATTGGCAGGCGATAAGCCAACTGTTTAGCTTCAGAGAAGACTTCGCCAGCAGTAAGCTAACTTCCAGAATATCACCAAGGACAGACTCACCAGTAGATTCCTTCAATCATCTACCTAAAGAGTACTCCTTCAGTGACAAGACACTTTTGTGTATAATATGATTATTTGTGGGACTTTACAATCCAGGGAGAGGTAGTGTTGTAGACTATATTTTTATTTTAGACTCTTGCTAAAGAGTTTTAATATCACATGTTGAGCATGTATCTCAGTAAATAGAATGTTCTGAAAAGTATGAGAAACATCAGCTAGAATACAGTAGTAGTAGTAAGTTGTTGATTAATTATTGAGTCTGTGTTAGGAAGTTCAATATCAAAAATTTTAAGTTTCCATTTCCATAAAGTACTAAAGACACTTGTTTGTGAAGTTAAGCCTTTTGTTTGGTTATTGTTAAGTACATTAAAAAATTACATTTGTAGAAATGTCAGTTGAAAAAAAACATCACAACATTACTAAAAAACTAAAGAATAAATTTAATTTTGTATTATGCACGAATAAGATCATTTGATCCATGAAAATTATAGAAATATGCATATAACGAACACAAGAACACACATTTTGTTCATATTATTATTTTTAACTACAATGTTCAACACAAACTAAACAGAGCTGTCATTTTTTTCATTACCTGATGATGAAATAGTTAAAGCATGCTTAGTTTATTAAATATCAACTAATTCATTACAATGTCATCCAATAAATCAGAAAATAATCTGTGCAACTATTGAGAATATCATGAAATGATTCTTTCACGTTATAATTTTCAAAATTGGAGCAGAATGAAAACTGAACATCTTTACTTACGCAAGCCTCTTCCACCTTTTATTGACTTGTGCACATCTGGCTAATACAGACTTTGGAAGATATTTAAGTATATGAAGAATGATTTCATCAGACATCTCTGATAAATGGTCTGTGAAGAAATAACAGTAAAATGTTTGTGAGGGAAAAAATAAAACCACATATGCCTCAAAAACCATTGAAAACTTAATGAATAAATTTGAAATGAAATTTAGAATTTTCTAAATGACTTCCTAATAATATATATATTTTTAATAAGAATTTTAGCTTTTGAACAATTTTAAAACTTTCCACAATTCTAACACTGAATACATGAACAGATTAAAATACATAACAATTTGAGAACACATAACACTAGTAGTGAACACAAGTTTAAAGGAAAAAAACAATAGTAGTAAATACTTACTTGCTGAATAGAGTATCACAGTAAGTATTAGAACTAACACAACAATGAACAAGGTTTCAGGTTGGTGTGGAAGGGGTTGCTGTTGAAACTTTTCTATCCTTTATAGCAGTGGACAGAGTTACAGTCATTCACTAAAACTATACAGCCACTTTCAGCCCAAAAACTGTCTCAAGACTTGTTTCATGGAAGTAATACTTTTAGAAATACTTCATTTTGTCTTTTTCTTTGCCTAAAACATCAGCATTCAACTGTTATTTTAATGTTCATATACAGTAACAATGTACAAATGTACTAACCTTTGCCAAAAATACCTTCTTGTTTGCTACGACGAAACAAAACAAAATCGTCTGCTACTCCACAAAATGAAGAATTGAGAGAAGTATTTGCTTGCGAGTCATTATCAATTGAAGAGTGAAATGCTGGTCCACGTGCAACCTAAACAATGAGAAAAAATAAAATGAAAATTTAAACACAGGATGTTCTTTAACATACTTTATTAAGTCTGTATTTAATGAATGTACTTTTGAATGAACAAATTTCCTAGAAATAATTAAGTCTTGGCAAGTATATGGACCCAATTATGGTAACTGCAAGAATGCCAAAATGTCATCCTGGTTAAATCCATTTTAGGCAGATTGTCCTTTCAAAAGTACACATAATTATCCACAAAAAAGTCTTAATAAGATCATAACAAAACTTGGTTACTCTAATTTACAAGTTATAGAGTTATGTAATTATAACTCTAAAATAGTTTAACATTACCAAATGAATGGTAGATGTACAACATTTAAATAATAATAAACTATAAACCTTATTCTAAGTAATAATGTGTACGTAGAAACTGCACTCCAATGGCTCGGTGGTAAATCTGCAGGCTTACGACACTAAAAACCAGGTTTCGATACCAGTCGTGTGTAGAGCAGAGATATCCCATTGTGTAGTTTTGCGCATCACAACAACCAACTAACTTTGAAACTGTCAGCATTAAGCCATTTATACACGTGATGCGCAAAAACAATCATTTTCGGAACAATATGTAGAATCTAAAAATGCTTCCCAAACATACTACAGATAATTTTTGGCTAAAATTCACTTTCGAAAGATATTTCATCTTTAAGTAAAGTTTGTCTTTATATTACCTTAATATTCGCCCACGGAAATGTCAAGAACTTAGTATTTACATGTTGAAAAATACTAATGTAATCGAAAAGCTTGAATTTCTAATGAAAAAAATTTAATATTATACAATAAACTTTATGCACTGAATAAATGTAAATATATAGGACCCTTCCTGCCCAAATCTGTCAAACTAAAGTACGAAAATAACGAGGTAATTTATATAAATATGTATATTATAAATAGTGATTTAATTTATGCTTTATAACGTTGTTTTCATGCCTTAGGTTATTTAAGCTTAGCATTTCCTTTGAAAAACGCAGCGCCATCTATTGACTGCATGTCCATTTTTATACACAATGTTCTTTATAAAGAATTTTGTCCACAACTAGCGACACCAAACAGTGGAAAATTTTTCATTTTTTAAACGAACTATTCGCGTGTAGTCTGCCTCTTTTGAAGACAGATTCACCTGTGAAAAGTGCTCCCCCTCCCCAATTTAATCTGCTGCAGTATTATATTTTATTAATTGTTTACTTTAACTTCAAGGAAAACAAATCAAGATTGTAATCTACCCACGAATCCGTTTTACATTAATCAACACCGAAAAAATTAACAAAAATGTTGAATTTAATAATTCGATTTCTTAAGAACTATGAACAGGGTGTGTAATAACAAAAATTCTGCCGCTGCCATTTCAGATATAAAGAAAAACAGGAGATATGTTGACTTCACCTTTCTGACATTTTACTACAATATTCTATGATATAAACAAAGTAAATTAACCATTAAATGTGAGATAGCCTCCAACTAATTCAACTCGAAATTCCGTCAGTATATTCTTTTCATGTTTTTTGCCATTTCTTTCTCGCGTTTCAGGTTTCTTTCTGTAACCCATTAAGAAAAAATACATGTAGGGGGGAAAAGGACTTAACTTCATCCACAACCCCTATTCTGATTTCGTCCATTTCCTACTTAATCTGTTTTGTAGATGTAGTACAAAAACTGCAAGGACCTTGATATTTCTGGATGATTTTTTCTCCGTATATCTTGTTTTAATCGTTTCGGAATTACGAAGTGAAATAAATAAGAGTTAGCCTCACACTTTGAAATTTCTACCCAATTATTTTGGAATTATGATTGTTTGTTTTGAATTTCGCGCAAAGCTACACGAGGGCTATTTAGCAGTGTAAGACTAGAGGGAAGGAAGCTAGTCATCACCACCCACCGCCAACTCTTGGACTGCTCTTTTTACCAACGAATAGTGGGATTGACCGTCACATTATAACGCCCCCATG